AGAGATGAAAGTTTGTATTGGAAAGCAAGCTACGGACGAACCCGAGCGAAGCGAGGTTGAATCGCTAGTTGTAATAATAAAGTTGTGGTAGCCCAGTGGTAACGCACTTACTCGGGAAACCGAGTAAACTAGGTTCAAATCCCGGGTCTCGCACGTCTGATATTTTCATGTGCAAATCATTTCCAACATGATTACCATTTGACATCAAAATTTCTAATCATCACATTTAAATATTCTTTAAAAAAATATGGCTGCCTACGTGCAACCTTTACGCGAGGTTGAAGTAAAACTTCTTTGGAAAATATTACAATTAAATTAAAACAAATCAATAACTAAATAAGGCATATTAGGCATATTACAATGATACATTTATAGAATATCATATAAGGAAAGAATATAATATTATATATTTGTCAAACAATAACAACGGTTACCATGACAACATTACACATGTACAACATGTATTCTATCTCATTCTCTCGCCGGATTAATCCTATATACCATGTATTTATGCGTTTGTCTCTTTTTAGTGTCGCATTTTCGTTTCATCGAGTTTCAAATCATAACGATTCTAAAGAAGTTTCACTTCAAAAAACATTTAAACTTCTGTCTATTCTTCAAAAAAATCATTTATATATTTAAGTTTTATATAATATATGGGCAAGATTTTGCCACGTCAGTAAGTTATAACTCACAGGCCAGGCTTCGAGGATTATTTTTCACGTCATCACCGCTAACGATGCAACTTGTAGCTGCGAGTAATTTCCGCTAGAAAAATTTCTTTCTTGAGACGATCGTCGATAATTAGTAGCGGAAAGTGAAAACGGATTTTGTTCTCGTTCCAATTGTTTTTCTTTTAAAATCCCTGTTATTGCTGAAGTATTTTTGTTTCATTATAAGTAGACTTAAAATTGTTCCGTATTTTTTTTAATTATAGTGAAACTTATTATGATAAGATAATATTATGGTCATAACGTTTTCAAAAACATTTTTATAAACATCGTCTAAGAGGGGAAAGATACCAATAATAATGTTCTCCCGACCGATTTCAGTCACGACAAGTAATATGACAGGTTTGGCTCAGTTTGTAGTGATCCTACTTGCTGTGCCAGCGGTCGTGGGTTCGAGTCTCGCTGGGGGCAATCATTTGTGTGATGAGCACGAATGTTTGTACTCCAGTCATGGGTGTTTATATTTATAATATGTATCTATTTAAAAGTTATATATATATATATGTAATGCATCAACTATCTGATATCTATAACATAAACCTCGTACCTTCCCATGGAACCAGAAAGTGCTGTGTGTGCCCCAACCAAAAAATAAAATCGCATTGAGACTAGCTACAAGTACGTGTGCAGGATATATTATAGTGCACAAGTCTGCGTGCGAGCACATTGCTCTTGCGAGCACTCTTTAATTATAGTTTTTTCTCTCAAAATCCGATAGGACGATACTTCGACACGACCAGATTGAGGTCAGGTGTAGGATCAATGACTTTACATGTTTTCCGAGGCGGTGTGACACTGCCAACTTCCTGACTCCGGGACCTTTGGATTTGCAACCGTGGATGATAGCACTAGATCAATAAAACAGATTGATAATAAATGTGACAGTTATATAAAGTTAACTGAATTTTTTAGGTAAGTTACCTTTAATAAAAAAAGGCATAAGGTATAAGATTTTATTAAAAAGTGTATATAAAATAATGAGGACTTTTATATATGTTTAATCTTTAATATTAAATTGACGCTATCTATTATTAAGTCATTACCACGTATTTTAGATTTATGATTCATATCAGTAAACCACCTTTTAAACGATTATTCGTTTTAGTAAGTTTTCTTCCAATTTGCTATACTCCAATCTTATTACCAAAACCGAGTTCTCGAAGAATTATTCACTTCAAGTTCCCCAATATTCCTTTTACGAAATATTTGTAAGAAATGTGTCTTGGTAAAGTTTGTTAGGAAGGAAATGTCATAAATTTTATTGTGGATCACTAAACAAGCTCCCATATATTACTATTATAGTTATTTTATATTATATTATTATTATAGTTATTTTTTTCTAATTCTAGTCAAATATTCAGTATTAATTTTAAATTGCATTTCAAAATGTCTCAGCAACATTAAGTTTCAAAGGTACAACAAACATTATAACGTGCAGGGAACAAGGAGTATGTTAAATATAATAAATGTTCATCCACTATAAGCTGTGTTTAAACTCTCTGACATAACATCAAGTTACATTCCTCGCTACAAAGTCGGAAGCCAAACTAAATCTTCGTCTAAGGTCTAACTCTAAACTGTAGAAATAACATTTAACATTGTTCGTAGTAAATTATAATTACAAATAAATGTAACAACATAAAGGTTTGCTTTCATTACGCCTTAATTACAAAAAAACAACAGTAATAAATCTGTATAAATATTTTAAATGTGAAAGTTTGTAAGTATATATGGATGTTTGTTACATTTTCACGCCAGAACGGCTGAACGGATCTGGATGAAATTTGGAACAGAGATAGATTATAGTCTGTAATAAAACATAGGCTACTTTTTATCCCGTAAAAACATACGGTTCCCGGGAGATAGATTTGTTTTTGTTTTTCTAGAGGCGAACCCCAGCGAAGCGAGGGTGAACCGCTAGTTATTGTAATGAACTAGTTGTTATAAAAACAATGAAGCTCTGATTCCTGAACTAGAACTGCGTTTTAGAAGCCACTGTACTGTCTCATATCAAATGATAATCTTGTTTGAATAATAAAAATAAAAAAATAAAGTAACATTGTACGTAGGTACTTTTAAATAACTATCATATTTGTATTCAAATTATTGCCTCATGGGCTAGTGGCTAGCTACAGATCTAGAGGACTCGAGTCCTGGGTCAGGCCTGAATAATTATTCAGTATTTTTGTCAACAACAACTCAGTAGCAGCCGGAAGTTAGGAAAGCGTAGGACATTATTATTATTTATTTTTTATGAGTATAATTTAAAAAATAAACAATGGTCGAGTGGCTAGTTTGTATAGTTATAAATCATAACATCATATTTTTTAACCTTGGAAAATACATTTACACATACCACCTGTATACATACAGATGGTTATGTGGGACTCACTAGCTAGTACCAACTACTGAAACCCAACGGAACATCCTGGTCTCTTAACGTCACGCCAGGCTGGATTGCCAGATGCTAATGAGTCCCGCCGCCAAAGTTACCACACATCCAAGAAGAAATTATACCATGATACATAGGTTCGAAGCCTGGGTCGTGCTTGAAATAGTTATTAAGTTTTCTGTCAAAGTAGATTTACAAGTATTAGCAGTTTTGCACCTCGTAGAGCTTCTAAAGTTTTCGAATGCTCTAAATGACGCATATTTTGAAAACATGCCCCATATATTTACATTACACTTTTCATAAGCAAACTATTTTTGAAGTTAGAATTTCTATTATTGTATAGTAATAGGAAGATGCAAGTAGGCTACAATAACTCACGTCTAATTAGATATCGGGCGTATGTTTCAAAGTCAGCAACTGTCACGATTGCGAAATACGATATATCGCGAGGGATTTTCAATTGTGTAACCAAATTTTAGCGCGAATCACTTCTACTGCTACTGTCAAGCTTTGGAATGTAAAGATTGTTTTGTTTTTTATTTTCTTAAATTTAGAACGGAGCTGGTGATTTGGTATATTTTCTAACAAAAATCATTTGCTTTATATTCTCTTATTAATCTCTTTTTATCTACACAAAAACTATAAAGATTTGATAGATTTTCTACCTGAGATGAATAGAAAATTTGAAACGTATTTAACATATTAAATACGTTTTTTGTGAATTTATATATTCTTTACTATGTTTAATATAGAATTACTTTTTTTAATTATAATGAATTTATAGGTAAATTTAAAAATATTTATTTTGCTAATCTCTGGAAGTACCCATTTGATTTAAATTATTGTTTCTAATCATGAGCCTGTAAATTGAGGAAGGATATTTAATTAGGCTATTTAAAATCATGTCACTACACTAAGGACAAAACAATTACATATAAACGTGTATACTAGTGGAGCTGTAGGCAAACGCTAGTGAGAGGTGTAATAAAAAAACAATATTCTTGATAATATAATAAAAATAATAGGTAGAAACTTTGCTGGTGTGTGAATGTATTAGAGTGTAACTATATACAAGGACTCGCATTGCCCGCGACTCTGCCCGCGTTCAGATGACCAAAAACCAAATTCTTAGGTTTTACATATTAGTATACTCTTATATTGCAGTTTATGTATTTTTTCTCAGAAATGAGACATATTCCGCGGTAAAAAGTATCCTATATGTTGACCCAGATAACCTGCTGTCACCATACCAAATTTTATCAAAATCTATCCAGTGGTTTTCCCGTGATGGGATAACAGACAGACAGACAAAAACTCTAAAAACTATAGATTCGGCCTCCGTATCTATAATAATGTCAATTTCAATTAGATTTTTCAAAAAATATTTAATGTAAAAAAGATTCGGCTTAGTTATAATTTTATTATATGTATAGATATATTAAACTATATAAATATTATTGAAAATAATTATTATTCAACGTACATATATATTACAATACAACGTCTTAGATAAATATTATGGAAAAGAAAAAAAATACTTCAAAAGCAAAATAATCCTTCCACGACCGCGGACACGCCGGCGTGTCAGTTAACAATAGATTTCTTAGTAATTTAATAATTTTCTTAGAAATTTACCTGGAGGTGTTATTACATATATGTAATTTGTATTCTTTTTGTTAATATGGTCATGACTGGACACACAATGTAAATGGAAAAAAAATATATACTCGAGTGATCGGAAAAATAGACGCGACATCGAATAATACTTATAGAGTTTATTGTTTTTAAGTGAAACTTCTTTAGAATCGTTATAATTAAATAAATAAATAAATATTTTGGAACATTAACTCAGTACCATCTGGTTCCATCGTAAGCTACGAGGCTTGTGTTGTGGATACCAGATAGTTGTTACAATACACATGTATATATTCTATTCTATTCTGTTCTGGTCTGTTCTGGTCTGTTCTGGTCTGTTCTGGTCTGTTCTGGTCTGTTCTGGTCTGTTCTAGTCTGTTCTGGTCTGTTCTGGTCTGTTCTGATCTGTTCTGTTCTGGTCTGTTCTGGTCTGTTCTGGTCTGTTCTGGTCTGTTCTGGTCTGTTCTGGTCTGTTCTGGTCTGTTCTGGTCTGTTCTGGTCTGTTCTGGTCTGTTCTGGTCTGTTCTGGTCTGTTCTGGTCTGTTCTGGTCTTTTCTGGTCTTTTCTGATCTTTTCTGGTCTGTTCTGGTCTGTTCTGTTCTTATTATAAAATTTGTGTTATTATTATAAATTCTATAACTCATTATTTAAAAGAATAACTGTTCAGTTTCTCGCCGGCCTACCTTCAAAAATCCCGGAAATCATCCCGTAAAGGAGGGAAATGAGGGTGAGTCGCTAGTTTTACTATAAATTATTTACACTACGATAATACTAAATGATTCATTTTTCCGGGCCACTGCCTTTTCCGTCTCGATACTCGTAGTAAAATCTTGACACAACTCAGTTACTTTACATAATAGATCTTATATGAAGTTGCAAATTTACATAACATTGTATAATCATAATATATAAACTGACAGATACCTACCTATATATGTAAGTAGGTATAGTGTAGTATCTCAGCAATCTCTTCATATACGCGTGTATTTCAGATAGAATGTGAAAAGAATGAAGAAGACGTAATGGAAATTAATCGGTAATATAAAATTTATTATAACTAGTATTATTTCGAGACTATTTCAGAAGTAGGTCAGGTAAAATTCGGTATAACAGCAAACTGTTTTTATTATTTAATACAGAGTCAGAGTAAACGACATCACAAAAAAGAATGACGCAAAGTCATAAAACAAAACGGTGTTCCCGCCCTTTTTCCTGTCAAGATGACATCGTCAGAAAACTCAAATAAGTATTTTATATCAGAATGACAACATAAGGAAATAAATAATAAATTTACAATAATACATATAAACCCTTTTTAATTAATATTTTTAGTATAACACTAGATTATATGTAAAAATCGTTATTAAGACTTGAACTCTCATAAAACAAACGTCTAACAAGTAGAATATTCCTTCCACGACCGCGGACACTCCGTGGTTACAGATAATAGATTTCTTAGACATTTAATTAATTTCTTAGAAACTTACCTGAAAGTGATATACATGTGTAAATAATGAGTTAAAGGTAAAATGAGTTAAAGGTATAAGAAGAAAAAACTTCAACTGTCAAAAATGTTTGAGATATCGATAAATTTTCTGGCATCAAATTGAAGTGCCCAGGAGAAAGGTTTTTGAAATACATTCTTACGATACATTTATAGGAATTTGACATTTTTCTTAAAAACTATTGAAGTTATACTTATTGTGGCACGCTTGGAAAAAATTATGTGGGTAAAATTTTTACGATTTTCGATTTCTATGAAGAATATTTTTAAATGTTATTGTTTAAGTTCATATTCATCGGATTAACGGATGTATAATATATACCTAATAATTCGTTCAATAGTTACACGTATTCACACTTCATTAATTTGAGTTGTTAGGTTGCATTTTTATGTATGAGCGTTTTAATGGAAAATAATATATTTGATTCATTTGTAATGATTTATGAATAAAGCATTCAGTTATGTGACCTTGGCCTCTAGAAATAAATTCATTTGTTTTCCCGCGCTTTTGCAGAGAGATGTCGGTACCATCTTGTAGTCAAGTCATGAATTGTTTGTAATACTGTAAATTATTATTATAAATTCTATAATAACTCATTATTTAAAAGAGTAACTGTTCAGCTTCTCGCCTCGGCTCTTCTCAGAAGAACTGCTTTCCGAGTCGGTGGCAGCTTCCACACGGACAGATGTACTGACGATTTAAAAAAATTTTTGTTAGTGTTCCAAAAGTACTGAATATAAGAATATTAATATGGAATTCTAAATTGTATTTCAAATATCTTATAATAGATTAGCGTTTTGTTTACGAACGAGTTCTGTATTATCTTTCCAATTCACTCATGTATTTTATTGTTTTATATAATTATTATTAATTACAGACAAGTGACTCACACTCGCTCCGCTCGGGTTCGTCCCTACTTTTAACGGTTAGTATAGATTTCTAAGATGAGATATTTTCCCGCAGTAAAAACTATCCTTAATGCAAGGAATATCTCTAACGTATCTAAGGAATATCTCTAACTAAGTATCATCCCGAAGTTGAGAAGTTGCCGGTGTGTTCACTGTACAGGGTACACCCCCGTACCTCGGAGATCACTTCAGTCTATCTTATGGAGTATCATCAGTAACAAAGAAAAATTTATTATTTAAGTTGTGACAGAAAACGAAATAAAATTTGGCATTATATTACTGCACGTTGTATCAGCGCATACACTTTGTTCACCATAATATCTCCCGAGTAGTTGGCTCGCTAAGAAACTCAAAAGAAGCATGAGTGAACATAATCATTAAGAAATTATTAAGATTGTTTGATTAAATGAAACGTCGAGCGTTAACAGGAAGAACATTAGTTATGTTTTTTTAAATACAGTACCTACGCAAAAATACATGACAGACATCAAGTCAGAGCTGAAGTATAGACAACGTCCTAAAGCAATACGGATGACTACAAATAAACGAATACGATTTTTTTATACTTTCTCCCTTAAGAGGATGAAAATTATAAATAAAACACGGTTTATAACACTGTTTTCAAATATGAAATTAAAAAGTATAGAGTTAAATTAAAAAAAAAACACATTAATAAAAATACACAGAAGTTATATAAAAATACACATGATATTTTTTGTCAAATTTCCTAATATGGTTAAATATTATAATTCACTAAATTCGCCGCCCTGTATGAAAATATTTGGTCTTCTTTTTTATAACACCGAGCAGAGTTCGTTAAATTGGACACGGTTGGAAAGAACGATTTACGTACGTACCTAAATCTATTTATGATTATATGAGCATAAAAATTTATGTCGAAGTTTTTGTAATTATTTAGGTATAAAAGTTCCATTTTGCTCATTCTAAAATTATAATAATACTAGCATTACCCGCGCCTTGCCCACGTTCAGATGACCAAAAACCAAATTCTTTGATTTTACATATTAGTATACTTACTTAGGTACATTGCAGTTTTTGTATTTTTCTCAGAAATTAGGTATTTTCCCGCGGTAAAAAGTATCCTATATGTTGACCCGGATAACCAGCTATCACCATACCACATCATCAAAATTTCTCCAGTGGTTTTCCGTGATGCGGTAACAGACAGACAGACGAAAATTCTAAAAACTATAGATTCGGCCTCTGTATCGATAATAATGTTCATTTCAATAAGATTTTCCAAAAAATATTTAATGTACAGATTCGGCTTCATTACAATTTTATTTTATGTATAGATAGCTTATTGCATATATACAAGTATCTTAAAACAAAATAATAGATGTGCAAATGCGGTCTTATCACTAACTAACTAGCGATATTACAGGCAACCAATATTACAAGTTATATAGTCCTATAACTTATAGGACTCGATTACGTCTTAAAAACAGAGCGCTGCATAAAGTACTACGTATTTAAAAATAATAGAAATATAAATAAACATACATAACGATATCTTTTATATTTTTGCCAATTGTGAACCCATTTTCAATATATACTAATATTATAAAAAGACAGACTTTGTTTGTTGTTTTGAACGCGCTAATCTCAGGAACTACTAATCTGATTTGAAAAAATATTTTTGCATTATATAACCCGTATATTGATGAAGGCTATGGGGAATAGTCTATATATCATCATGCTACTACCCCAGAGAGCGGAACAGTAATCATAAATGTCAACAAATCGGACAGACTTACGTACATTATTGTGAAACTGATGGTAATATCGGAAATTTGAACGCGGGCGAAGTATGAGTCGCTAGTCTATACATAATATAATAATAAAATTCTATTAGAGTCGAATCTGTACATTTAAATATTTTTTGGAAAAACTTATTGAAATAGTCATTATTATCGATTTAAACTGCCTCGGTGGTGTAGTGGCTAGCATGTACGGCTGCACACCCAGAGGTCCTGGGTTAGAGTCCCGAGTCGGGCCAAGTTTAGTTAATGATTCTTTCTGTATAGTAAGCCTCAGTAACAGCCCGGAGTTGGGAAGTTGACGGTGTTTCACCCCCGTGCCTCGGAGAGCACGTAAAGCCGTCGGTCCTGCGCCTTCACTCTCACCGGTCGTGTCGAGTGGTCGTCCCACCGGAGTATGAGAGTGATAGGAATAGAGAGTGCACTTGTGTCTGCGCGTACACGCGCTGCACTATAATATCTACTGCGCAGTTGGCTTGTCTCAATGAGATTGGTCGCCGTAGCCGGAATCGGTCAGGAGAACATCATCATTATCAATACAGAGGCCAAATTATAGTTTTTAAGAATTTTTGTCTGTCTGTCTGGGAATACATCATGAAAGAACTGCTGGGCACTTTGGATTAAATTTGGTATGATGGTAGGTCCGAGTCAACATATAGGATACTTTTTACTATAAAATATCTCATCTCTGAGAAATCTATACTAACCGTCAACAAACAACAACCGTCTACGTATCAAGGAATGAACCCGGGCGGAGCGTGGGTGAGCCGCTACTCAAATATAAATTAAATATTACGATATTATTTTTTCGCACTATATTACCCCGCTATCATCTTCCTCGTCCATGAATCAGCTGGAAGGCTCTTTTATAGATATCATATCTGCTAATTAAGTTTTTTGTTAAAAAAATTCTTTCGTTTATATTTCTTCTTGAGTGGAATAAACAATATAATAATATAATATTGTATTAAAATATTTTTCTCTTTCACAACTTGAACTAAGATTACATTTTCGCATCGCTTGAACTTTTATTGCAAAGGAAATTGAAATCTCTGCAGATCTTTTCATTATTACAATGTTAGAACATAAGTGGAACTAGGGTGCTATGGGCAAGCACTCTTCTAAATAGAGTTTATTGTGTGTATATTTATTTTTAACTAACTTCCAAAAAGGAGGAGGTCATCATTTCGTCGGAATCTTTTTTTATCTATGTTCACCAATTACTCGAAGACACCTGAACCGATTTGAAAATTTTTATTTTGTTTCAAAAGGTATACTTCCCAGGTGGTCCCATATAAATTTTATCGAACTCGATTGAGCGGTTTTTTAAAAAATCAACAATCACTATATTTTTTTAATAAATTGTTTAATGGAATATGTTATTAAAAAACTTTATTCTTACAAATTACCAGATTATTACGTGTACACTAAAACTGGAAATATAAAAACT